AGGAAATGCTAATGCTGCTAGTCTGGGGACCACATTTTGAGAACCATTGGCTTAAAACTAACTGATTCTCTTTAGAAAGAGGTAAGAGAAGTTAAGAGAAAGGTCAGGATGTTATGCTCATTATTTTTAAAGAAAATCTAGAGGAAATTTTCTCAAAATGTGAAAAATTTGTATTTTGGCCATATTTAGATAAAAACAATGTACCAAATATACTATTTTTACTAGTAACTTTTAATACTTAAAGAATATCATAAAGTCAGGTTTAATCTGATATTAATTTGATATTTGATTAATAGGTATTTTTAATTCTGTTACAATTCAAAAGGAGTTGGAAGAAGTAATCTTTTAAACTCTCAAAAACGTCTTAGACATAGTATATTTCATGAACATATTTTTTTGTTTTTAAAGTTAACTAGAGAATAATTCATAGAATTCTCTTTTAAAGTTTAAGACTAAGGCTATTGCTACTATATCATTTCAGTATTTTACATGACTTTGAGGTGTCTTTTAAATATTTTTGAAGTTGCATAAAATGCAAATTAAACAAAAATAAATTTTAGAGTCGGATCTCATCATTGGAAAAACTGTTTATTTGAAAGACACAGTAATTAAGCAAGGATTTTGACTGACCATAGGAATATATTAACTCACAGTACAGCAGTGTGGACTATCATATTCTCTAAACATTGGATACAGTTTTCTAGAATAGCATAGACTTAAAAAAACTAATCAAAAGAAGAAGAAAATCATTAAGAATAATGATTGATAATGGATCGAATGAGGAGCTGCCTTTAACTGAGGGGGGAAAGGCAATGTTATGAATGAGAGAATTTATCTTTAAGAAAAAATAGGAAATGTTTATTATGTATCTGAATCTGTTATAATGAAAGATTATACTAGTAAAAATATTTCCAAGATTTTTACCTCTGGTTCAAGTAACAATCTTACTAAAATAACTTTTTTCCTTTCATTTTCTGTCCTCTGTGGCCTCAGTCATATTGTTTGTAGTTTTATCCTGTTTGCAAGGCTTTTCTCCCTTAACCTATTCACTACAGAATTCAACTAGGAAGGAGAGAAAAGAAGAGCATTTCAACTTCAGAATTTTCTTTGAATGGTTTGTCATTGGATACAATTTCTTGTTCTTCTGACCTTTTCTTAATTTAACTATTCTGACCACTTCTTTTGGAAAAACTCACCTAACCTTGAAACAAATCACTCAAACAAAAAATAAGCCCACAAACTATCCAGGAACCTGGGATATGAGTAACATTTTTTCTCATTTTCTCTTTAAAGTGCTTTTTTTCCTGCTGGATGGCTTAAGAGAAACAAGATGCTTATTCTTTATTCATGCCCACATCTCCTAGCTGGGAATGTGATTCCTATTACATATTAAAATGAAAACATTCACCTGCCATTTGGAATTTATTATAATAAAATTCATAATAAAGTAAAGTTAGGAGTGGCCTGCCTTTGTCTATCCTGGTTTTACCATTTTACCATCAAAAATCCTATATCCCATGAAACCCCTTCCTGTGATGCAAAAAAGTCCTGGCAACCATGATTTGCAGTTCTCAATAATGGGTCATCTGTTGTCACATCACTCTGAATGATGCAACTTAAGTGTGTTGTCATCCTTGACTTTGCCGATTGGATTAATGTTGTATTTTTATTGAAACAGTGTTAGCTTAATTTATTAGTACTGTACATATTGTGACCATTTTTTCTAAGAGCAAATAATGAAAATGACAACAGTTATGATACTACCAGACTGCCACAAGTATGACCAAGAAAGAAGGTTATAGTAGTTGTTATATATGGATATATTTACGTAGTACATATTATTGTGTATAGTGATATGTTATCATAGATGGATAGAAAGACAATTAGGAAGTTGGATAACCAAAGCAGAACATACTGCACAGTGTGCTTAAGAATTTTGGATTGAATTGTGTCCCCTGCCCCACCCTAACCTCAAATGTATATGTTGAAGTCCTAAGCCCCAGTACTTCAGAATATGACCTAATTTGGAAATAGGGTCATTATAGAGATAATTAGTTAAGTGAAAACCAGGTCATACTTGAGTAATATTGGTCCTTAAAACAGTATACAATCCTGTTAAAAAAGGAACGTGATTTGCTTACCTGTGACACTGAAGCTTTCATAATGAAAGTTCTTGCTCACCTTCCATTTACTCAGAACCTGAAGAAACACTTAATGAGGTATTTGACTTTATGGAGATGGAAGGAGATAACCTTTGTGGACAAGAGCCTGCAAGTAGCTATGACTGCTGCCAGCAAATGTTGACCTGCTCTGCAAGCATATGTTCAGAGTGTGAGGCAAGAGGAATGTCCTTTTGTTTGGAAATAGATTGAGGATGAGAATGCAGAAAAATGTTGCAGTGAAACAGATATTTATGTACTGGTTCTGCAAAACTGAGAATAGTTGAAGAGGCCATAAGGAGCTAGAAAACGGTGAACTATCAGTGCCTGCATCGCTTGATGTCATGTGCAGATTGTGAAACTGCATACAATGAAATGAGAAAATTCATACAGTGAAATACTGGCTCAGGTATTTGGAAATAAGACTGCCTCAGAACTCAATAATGTTACCAGAGAAGCGTAGCTACATTAAATAGAACTTTTTTATACTAAAACTATAACTTACTGGAAGTCATTCAGTATGCTCTAGGGTATCTTAAAATAATATGTATTTTAGACATTTTAGAAATAGATGGCATATATGATGAATTTATACATACAAGTGATCATGCAAACTGCTGGTCTACCAGAAGCCTGTAGCTACAAAGTGAATGGATATTGTTAGAGAGCTGGAAACTTAATTCTTATAACTCTAAAAGCCTGCTATGCAAAAACCACTACAATATTGTAAAGTAATTAGCCTCCAACTAATAAAAATAAATGAAAAAAAAGCCTGCTATTGCTAATAAGTAAAATTTTATGTATTTTATGCTTAAACAACTTAATTGAGAAAATATTTAGCTTGAGATCATCATATTTAACTGATACCAGTAATGTGGACCTCTAAGAGCACAGTTACAAGTCAAAGTAAATTTTATATTTAACTGTAGTTGTTTTAATCCTGCAAAAAATAAGGATATCCTAAAGGCTGCAGACATTTCAGAAAGGTACAATTGGAAAAGGAAATAAGGAGTGAAAATATCCTACTATGTCATGGATAAAAAGATATAATTTTTTTTATTAAATATGGGTAATAACTGTTTAGTCCTATTGTATTTGCATTCTTCTTTTAAAAAGTCTTACATTTATGCTTCTGAAAACATAACCTACCAAATTTCAACATCAAAGAGAAATAAAAGATCAGAAATATAATATTAACATATTATATTTTTCCACAATTTGATTTGTTTGATTAGTCCCACTATTAATTACTAGTTACTGATATTAACTAGTTCTGTTATTTAAATAAAAGCATTTACTGTAACAGAAAAGCAAATAGTATAGAATAATGTAGAATTTCGAATTCACACATATTTCTGTGTTAAAGTAACAACACATGTGCATAGTTATTTCCCATGTATTGTCATGTGTTTTTGAACTGTCCAGTTGCCTCTAAAATGTTGATTATCTTCCCCTTCTTCCCCATCACTCTCCACATGCACAGAGCTCATCTTGGCTATTGTCTTCATCTCTCTGCTGTCCTCTCTTCTTCCTCATAACCCATTTCAGTTTTGCTAAGGACAGCGAGTTTGAGATGATGAAAAGTTTTAGTTGTAGATTTATCTTGGAAAAACGAATTCTTACAATCCAGCTCTCAGTTTTTAACCCCTAAAATAACTTACATAGAGAAGAATTGAGACTCTTCAAATAAAAAGTCCATTCATTATCATTTTCTAAAATATTTTGCTTTATATTGTTCCCATTTGGAAGGCAATGTGCTATAAACAGTGGGAAAAATGTTTCTGAAGTTGTGTATCTAATGTTTTGAGGGTGTGCATGCTAAATCACTTCAGTCGTGTCTGACTCTTTTGCAAGCCTATGGACTCCAGCCTGCCAGGTTCCTCTGTCCATGGGATTCTCCAGGCAAGAATAATGGAGTGGGTTGCCATGCCCTCCTCCAGGGAATCTTCCCAAACTTTGGAATAAACCCATGTCCCTTATGTCTCCTGCGTTGACAGGCAGGTTCTTTACCACTAGCGCCATCTGGGAATGTTTTGAGGGCAGATGGGACTATTTCTTTTGGTGTATTATCATAATTCTGATTTAATTGGAAGTGCTAGAATGATTCCATTTACCTAGTAACATTTTTAAAATTACATAACATTTTTGGAATGTATACTTTTGGTTTTAGTTCTAATGCTTATTAACACTATTATACTTTTCTTGTTATTAAATTAGTGGAATGTACTAAGCATTATGTTTCTAAATTCAGAAAGGTCCCCAAAGAATGTGTTTTAGCTGTAGGATCTTCTGATTGACAAATATATTTTTCAGGTCAAATATGATAGATAAGGTTTAACATGTGTTGTTATATTTGGCAAGTGTGTGTCTGCTTATAGGCTTATATTGTTATTTAGAAAGTGAAGCACACTCTGGAGATTTTTAAGGTGTGTCTAATGGATATAAAACTACATTCCTATTAGGTATTTAATTGCCATAAAATTACTCAACTTTTGAAATTCACACTACCATAATCACTATTTCTATGGTAATTTGAGAATGCTGTTACTCATCGCTATTTGCAGAATTCATTAGTTCAGCATAAGACTGCTGCTTGAAATCTGTCTTTCTGAGTGAACATTATGTACGTAAATGAACATAAGTATGTAATATGTTGTCTTTAAAAAATACTGTAGAATTCTAATGACATTTCTAAGTTTTCATAAAGATCACTTTAGCAGACTTGGTTTGTGTTTATATTGATCATTGTTTTATGCCAAGAAGCTGTTGAATGTCTCTTCAGGATTGGAGATTTTGATAAGAATGTTAACCCTGACATGATGTTTTATATTTATCACCCAGAAGGATGGTGTGCTGGTGTACATTGGGAATTTCCGCCTGCTTGCAGAACTTTCCAGCCCTTTTGTGAATCAGCGGTAGGTTACTGATATCATTAATTATTTTATACTTGGGTTGCTTAGTTTGGGGAAATATTTTCCTCAAGATCCTAGCTATAAAAATGAGAATATGTGATATGAACTATCACCATTGTACAAATGAGGAAATTGAGCCTTGGAAAGGTGAAGGAAACTTAGCCAAGATTGATGGTGACCCTGGCTCTTGAACCCAGCTCCCTTTGTGGTATGACAATACTTTGTTGTACTGGATTTATCTTGGATCCAGTTAATATCCCTGACACCAACTTTCTCCTGTTCCCAAATTTTGATACCAACATTATGTTGTCCCTCTTTTAAAAGAATCTTTTAATTTTAGATTTACAGAAAAGGCACAAAAATTACACAAAAACTCCCACATACCCTTCACCTAGTTTCCCCTTTTGTTAATATCTTACATTATCACGGAACATTTGTCAAAACTAAGCCAGCATTGACTCATTATTACTAAGTAAACTCCAGACTCTGTTGGATTCCCCGAGTTTTTCTATTAGTGTCTTCTTTTTGTTCTGTGATTCAATCTAGGCTGCCACATTACATTTAGCTGTCAGTCTTTCTCCCCGATCCACCCTGGGTGGATCCACCCCGATCACCTAAAGATTCTTAGTCTTTAGCCTTTCCTTGTTTTTCATGACCTTAACATTGTTAAAGGATACTCTCCAGTTATTTTGTAGAATCCTACAGTCTAGATTTACCTGTTTTTCTCATGACTAGGCAAAGGTTATAGGTTTTGGAACAAATCCTATACAGGTGAAGTGCCCTTCTTGTCACTTAAAAGCTGGCTTAAAACTCAACATTTGAAAAAGCTGGCTTAAAACTCAGCATTTAAAAAATGAAGATTATGGCATCCGGTCCCATCACTTCATAGCAAATAGATGGGGAAACAATGGAAACAGTGACAGACTTTATTTTTGGGGACTCCAAAATCACTGCAGATGGTGACTGCAGCCATGAAATTAAAAGACGCTTACTCCTTGGAGGGAAAGTTATGGCAAACCTTGACAGCATATTAAAAAGCAGAGACATTACTTTGCCGACCAGGGTCCATCTAGTCAAAGTTATGGTTTTTCCAGTAGTCACGTGTGGATGTGAGAGACTATAAAGAAAGCTGTGTGCTGAAGAATTGAGGCTTTTGAACTGTGGTGTTGGAGAAGACTCTTGAGAGTCCCTTGGACTGCAAGGAGATCCAGCCAGTCCATCCTAAGGGAAATCAGTCCTGAATACTCATTGGAAGGACCGATGCTGAAGCTGAAACTCCAATACTTTAGCCACCTGATGCGAAGAACTGACTCATTGGAAAAGACTCTGATGCTGGGAAAGATTGAGGGCAGAAGGAGAAGGGGACGACAAGGGATGAGATGGTTGGATGGCATCACTGACTCGATGGACACGAGTTTGAGCAAGCTCCGAGAGTTGGTGATGGACGGGGAAGCCTGGCATGCTGCAGTCCATGGGGTTGCAAAGAGTCAGACATGACTGAGCGACTGAACTGAACTGCCCTTGTCACATATCAGGAGCTGTATGATATCCATGTGACATCACAGGGGGTGTGAACTTCCACCATGCGGTTGAGGTGGTGTTTGACAAGTTTCTCTGCTGTGAAGTTTTTCCTTTTCCTTATTCTCTTCTTTGAAAGCAAGGCATGAAGTATGTAACCCATTCTGGGGAGAAATTAAGCTCCACCTCCTGGAGGGAGGTGCTCTTTTTGACAATGGCTTTATTATTATAATTTATTACCATTATCTTGTCATTTAGCAGGGTCTGCTGTAATTTTTTCTGTGTAAATGTTTAGCTGCTCCTTTCATTCCATACCCATGGTCCTAGTTTAGGGCCTTTAGGATCTCATGGGTGACTTACAGCTTTCTAACTGACTTCCTGATTCTCCATGCACCCACTCTTCAGTCCTTTCCTCATAGTGCCTCCAAGTCATCTTTCTTTTGTCTCACTTTCAGTGCCTTACTCTCTTACTAAACACTGTGCCTTCTTTAGAGTCCTCTCTGAACTTTTGAAGCTCTCTGTGATGTGCTCCATGTCTCCAGCCTAGTTTCTTACCACTCATTAGAGTTAGTTTTATACCTTTAAACTATCTCATACACTTGTGGATTTTTCTCACTTTTCCTCCTTTATTCGTATCCTCCATTTTCCCTCCATCTTTGAAAAATTTGCCTGTCTTTTAAGTTTTAGGTCAAAGTCCCAAACCCAGGGAAAGCTCCCACAATTCCATGTAGCTTTTTGTATCTTATTACAGAAATAGCTCAGAGAATTGGGAGTCTAATCAGACTCATGTGCATTAGGGAGCTTACCCTGTATCAAAATCTTACTAATAATCCCAAGGATACAAGTAATCATGAGACACTGGCAAAGCATGGTGATGTTCAGGACCATCAGCAAGGCTCCCTAAGTTTTTTTTGCACTGGGCACATTCTGGAATGAGGTTACCTATGAGGTCTCTAAGTGATATGTATAGTTCATATTGCTGACATAAAGTAGCTGTCTTGGTTATGAAATATCTCCATTTAATATTCAGATAGTTACATAGATTATTTAACGTTCCCCAGCGAGGTCAGACCCCATACATATGTACACTCTAGGTTCATTTATTATAAGCAACCCTAGCCTACATGTATCCTAAAAGCATTCCAAGGATGAAGACTCTTCTGCTGCAAATAGCATCGTTATGCTTACCAAGCAATTAGCCTCATCACTTGTTTTTCTTGCCAAAGGTGGGAACCATGGTCCTTCCAACCCAAACAGGAGAAATTAGATTACATATCTGCTGCTTAAACTTTTCTTTCCCAGGTACTTATGTACTATCTTATTTTGTTTGCCAGTGTTTCGTATGTTTTAATTTTTATTTCTTTAAGAAGACACTAAGTTCTTTAGCCTTGGCCATTTGAAATTTTAAAAATATGAGTTTTTCTGCAATTTTTAAAGACTCTGATGATGTGAAAGTGTAGAGAGCAAAGAACGTGTTCTTTGAAATCAGGAGACCTGGATTCAAATCCAAGCTGCCCCGCTTCCCACTGTATGTGAGTGGAAAATTAGCTCATCTTTCTGGGCCTCTTTTTTTTTTTCTTTTTAACTAGGGATAATGATCCCTATAGGCCTCACTCAGCAGTGGCCACAGGACTGGAAAAGGTCAGTTTTCATTCCAGTCCCAAAGAAAGGCAATCCCAAGGAATGCTCAAACTACCGCACAATTGCACTCATCTCACACGCTAGTAAAGTAATGCTCAGAATTCTCCAAGCCAGGCTTCAGCAATACGTGAACCGAGAACTTCCAGATGTTCAAGCTGGTTTTAGAAAAGGCAGAGGAATCAGAGATCAAATTGTCAACATCTGCTGGATCATCGAAAAAGCAAGAGAGTTCCAAAAAAAACATCTATTTCTGCTTTATTGACTGTGCCAAAGCCTTTGACTGTGTGGATGACAATAAACTGTGGAAAATTCTGAAAGAGATGGGCATACCAGATCACCTGACCTGCGTCTTAAGAAACCTGTATGCAGGTCAGGAAGCAACAGTTAGAACTGGACAAGGAAAAACAGACTGGTTCCAAATAGGAAAAAGAGTACATCAAGGCTGTATATTGTCACCCTGCTTATTTAACTTATATACAGAGTACGTCATGAGAAACACTGGGCTAAGAAGAAGCACAAGCTGGAATCAAGATTGCCGAGAGAAATATCAATAACCTCAGATATGCAGATGACACCACCCTTATGGCAGAAAGTGAAGATGAACTAAAAAGTTTCTTGATGAAAGTGAAAGAGGAGAGTGAAAAAGTTGGCTTAAAGCTCAACATTCAGAAAACATGGCATCTGGTCCCATCACTTCATGGCAAATAGATGGGGAAACAGTGGAAACTGTCAGACTTTATTTTTGGGGGGCTCCAAAATCACTGCAGATGGTGACTGCAGCCAAGAAATTAAAAGACGCTTACTCCTTGGAAGGAAAGTTATGACCAACCTAGATAGCACATTAAAAAGTAGAGACATTACTTTGCCAACAAAGTCCGTCTAGTCTAGGCTATGGTTTTTCCAGTGGTCATGTATGGATGTGAGAGTTGGACTGTGAAGAAAGCTGAGTGGCAAAGAATTGATGCTTTTGAATTGTGGTGTTGGAGAAGACTCTTGAGAGTCCCTTGGACTGCAAGGAGATCCAACCAGTCCATCCTAAAAGAGATCAGTCCTGGGTGTTCGTTGGAAGGACTGATGCTGAAGCTGAAACTCCAGTACTTTGGCCACCTCATGCGAAGAGTTGACTCATTGGAAAAGACCCTGATGCTGGGAGGGATTGGGGCAGGAGTAGAAGGGGATGACAGAGGATGAGAGGCTGGATGGCATCACTGACTTGATGGACATGAGTTTGAGTAAACTCCGGGAGTTTGTGATGGACAGGGAGGCCTGGCATGCTGCCATTCATGGGGTCGCAAAGAGTCAAACACGACTGAGCAACTGAACTGAACTGACCGATAGGCCTCACAGTTTATTGTGAAGATTCTATGTCATTATATGTTTGATTGTACATTTACTTACATGTGTAAAGTACCTGACCTAGTGCTTTTCATTCACTACATATGCAACAAGTGCTAAACGTAGTGTATATTCAATATGCTGAAATCTAGGCAACCCTGGAAGTGCATAGTTTGTGTTTGCCTTGTCTACTTGATTGTATCTTTTTTGTTCTTTAATGCATTAAAACTAGGCTTCCTCTTCTGTCATTTTGCTACAATGATTTCATTAGCGGTACCAATGAGTTGCATGTGTAAAATCCAGTGAACACTCACTCTTTGGTGCCTATCTCATTGCATCTCTCTGTGGACTTGATACTGTTGGCCATCTGCTTCTAATGCCACAGCTCCCCTTCTCTTTCAGGACACTGCACTGGTTCTCGTAGCGCTCTGACCATCCTGTCTCAGTCTTTTATGTAATAGACAGTTCCTTAAATGCTGGTGTTCCCCAGGGCTTTCCTCTGGACCCAC